GTCTCAACCTTCCTAATGCCGCGACCCTTTAATACAGTTCCTCATGTTGTGGTGACCCCCAATTTCATTGTTACAAATTGAACATAATTAAAGCATAGTGATTAATCACAAAAACAATATGTAATTATATATGTGTTTTCCCATGGTCTTAGGTGACCCCTGTGAAAAGGTCGTTCGACCCCCAAAGGGGTTGTGAACCACAGGTTGGCGACCCACAGGTTGAGAACCGCTGCTTTAGGGCATAGAACACTCCAATCACTACAAACTCTCAAAACTAAACACTTAAAGCTCTCTTCCAGAACAAAGCCACACTGAGGAGAAACTACAGGGAACAGGCCCCAGACTGAAGAGGACAGGGGCAATAGGAAAAAAGAAAAGAGAAACTCCAGATAAAGTGGAGAAGGAGAAAAGTGTGAGGAGATCTTACATAATAAGGTGAAATATTTTCAACCATTACACAAAAAAACGAAGAAGGGTTTCTGTGTGTTTAGAATGGCTAACTACACATAAAAATGTGTAAAAGAAAATGAAAGAAATAAAGTCTGAAACAAAGTTATTATAAGAAAAAAGGGAATAAGAATAAATAAATATCTAAAGACAATGAAAGCATACCACAAAGACTTGCTGACAAAACAGGTAAACACTATAACCTACTACTTCAAATCAAGCTGAAAACTTTAAGAACTTAGACATAATACAAAATGATAACATAAATTAGAATTAGGACAACCTCCAAAGGGACCTTTCTATAAGAAATAAAAATCAATTAAAAAAGAAAAAATTAGAAGAAACAGGGAGTTATAAACACGACAGATATTATGTAACTAAAAAGTAAAAATTTTTAAATATAAAAGACAAAAATTAAAAAGAAAATGACAAATAATAAAGACAGTTAAAGAAGACTCAACATACATACAAGAGAATGCCTGATGAAGAAAAACAAAACTTATATAACCATAATTGGAGAAAATGTTTCTGATATAAAAACAGAAACATCTGAAGCCATATAATGAAAGGGCAAATCACATACCTAAGAATACTGACCCAGATTAATGAACACCAAGCTATATTCTAATAAAATTACTGAACTTCTAGGCAAAAGTATCAACTGACTTGTAAAGGAAAGAATAATAAGATTGCCATCAGATTTTGCTCAACAGTACTTGTATAAAATAACATACTTAGATAGCCAAAGAAAGAAAACTGGAGCCAAGGATTTTATATCTACCTAACTATAAGCACTAAGATGACAGATGAACTGTTTTCAACATTCCAGAACTTAGCATAATTCCCATAGGCCCTTCCTGGAAACCTATAGTTGACAAGCTTCAGGATTCCAAAGTAATTAGAGATACATAGGGACTGATGGGGAGAATTAAATGTATAGTGATCTACAAAGATAAGACTAAGTGATGATTAAAAGAGAGCGCAGATAGTATGTAATGGTATGTTCTGACACTGTAAATAAGTTGAAATATTTTTTAAATGGTGGTCTTACTCTTTCTTTTTACTTGAAAAAAAATATTGGCTTTCTCTACCTTCCCTTCTCTTCCTTTTGGCAGCTGAGGCCTGGACCAAGGAAGGACTCATAGCCAAAACCAAGGCTGATTTTGATAGGGCCTGCACCAGTGGGTTCAAGGAGGCAACTAATTATTTACAGAAGAAATTGAAGAAGTAACTGAAGATAGCAGGAGCCACATTTCTCACTGTCAGAGAATGGAATTACAAATATGGAAACGGAGAAGGCTAGAATGAACTCTGTGGTGAACTATAAAGGGAGGTGTATAAATCTCGTATAGATATAAAAATTAACATCGATTAAATTAATATAGATTAAATTACTATAGATATGTATATTCCCACATACAAACACATATAACAGATATATACATAAACATACATAGACATATATGTATTCATACATATATATATTTCCGCTCTGTCTC